AATATATTGTAACATGTGTGTGACTTCAAATTGGGTTTGGATTGGTAATCGAATTTACTGCACTTTTATACAAAATGTTACTACACTCCACAAATCACTATCACACACAGACTAGTGTTCTTGGAGTGTTACAGTCTCCACTAGCCTTTTACTGGTAATGGCTTCCAAAGGCGAACATTCTCCTTAGCCTGGGTTCCTGAACTATCCCTGGTTTCAGCTGCCAGCATCTAAAATCATGCATGTAGTTGAGGTCTGTGAAGCCTGTGTTACATAAGCCCAATCTGTTCTTCTGTAGTCATGATTTCTTTCTGCCTAGCATTTAGCACTGCTAGAGGTTGAGCTACCATCAGCAGAAGCCACACTGCTATGCCAAATCTGTTACGAATGAGTTGTTGGCTGAGAAATTCTGTATTTCTTACGTAGTCTTTCATAACTGATCTGTACAACCATTGTACTATTCTGTTCTAATGTCACACATACATACAATATAATACATCAGTTTTGTTTTCCACTTTTTCGTTGTCATTTCATACACTCATGTACACTCCTGCAGCATCTGCTGTTGGATTATTAGTTGTTATTTATTAAAAATACTGTTCATTTATACTTTCCCTTCCTTATTCAAGAGGTCTGTAGGTGTAGTTTCTGGTCAGTAGGCAAATACAGGGATGGTAACTGGGTTGTGCTGTAACTGCACCACTGCCACACACTAGTTTAGGTATAATTAGAATCGTTAGTACAAAAGAATTAATTACCAGTAGCATGTAATAGCCAAGGCAGTGAGACATAGTCCCCTTCTTGCTTGCAGGAATTGACTTATTCCCAGGCTTACTGTTTCAGGAGAAGAACTGCTGTGGCATTTTCTTACAAATTTTTCTTAGAAGTAACACAGCAGAAAACTTTGAGAACATGATCTTTGACAGTTCCAGAACATTCTAACTTAAAAGTAGGCATGTTGGATAACCATGCTAAGCATAGTATCCATCACTGAGCTGTCAAAAGTGACGTTAGTGCTTTAAGGGCCAAAATCCCATACTATATGAGTAGTTAGCTGATTGAAAATCAAGAAATTGTAGTAATCTCCCAAAATTCGAATATATCCAATCAGCAGAATTTAGGGGAGTGACATAGCAGAGGAAATGAGACAGAGATGACCTCGGGTTTTGAGAGAAGTCAGTCTCTGAGTTCAGTTGTCTGACCACTCGTAAACTACTTAGACGCAAAATTTGTATCACTGCTGTTCTGTTCAAAAGTCTAAGTTACCAAGCCAAAGTGTTCACCGTAATTATTCTTATAACTTCTGGTGTACTATGACTAAAGGGAGCTAAGTACTTATAGCCAACTACATTAACTGTCTTTTCTACCAAGTGCATAGAGGTATCAATAAATGGTTGCAGCACTTAAGTGTCATGTGTGTAGCACAGTGTTCATCCCTTCCATGCCTGAGCAAGACCATGCTAATTGACCTGAGAAGGAATCTCCGCTCTGCCAACAGCTGAACCAGTTACCCTTCTTCACCTTACCTCTTTGCCTACCACAAACCTTAATATTGTATGTCACACCAATAGGAGCTTACTGGCGCCCAAATAAGGACAACCAGTGGTAAAAGAGGTGAGTTAAGGGCAGCTACAAACTAAAGAGTGGTGACCAACACACGGTGTAAGCTGACGGGCGTAAGCAATGAGAAACAGTTACAGTGCAAGTCTTTTGCTCCATATTTGCATTTACACACCCCACCCATCTCGAGAAAAATAATTTCACGGATTTGGTCAATGCATTGCCAGGCAACAGCTCTGTAAACATGGTCCAACACGCAACAGTAGAGGAAGCTGTGTTTCCTGTAGATCCGACCTATGCGCCAATAGACTGGCTGGATAGCGATCATGTAATATGTGTTTACTGTAGGTCCATGTCTGTTCTGCGGCTATATACTCGTAAGTAAGAGAGACAGAATTTGTTCAAGGAAGTTACGAGAAGTAATAGCGGCAGAAGCATGCGAACAAACAAACAAGCAGAAAGTTTGAGGAGTACAGAAGAGTACAAGAAGTCAGCCTGTAAAGATTTAACTAGTCATTTGTAGACTTTATGTGTGCTGTAGTGCATTGGTAGTGGAAGTGTGTGATTCAGGGAGAGTTTTATAGTTTCTATGTTATAAATCCATGAAGAATAGTGGAGATAGACTGAAGAGACTAGCGTGGAGTGCTCTGTAGTGTGAAAATCAGTAACAGTGCTATAATTAATTGTAGTTACGACCTGTAAGTGGTTAATAAATCCAATTACCAATCCAAACCCCATCTCTGGTCACTGTGACACATGACAATATAAACAACCAACTCAGAATCACAGATGATGGAATGGTACCTCTGATATGTTGGTTGAACAGATGGGACACCACTTTTAGTGGACTGGATTAGCTCAGCAGACGGTTTAATGGTGAAATTTCATTTCATACATGTGGAATCTTAAGGTTCTGATACTAATCCTAAAGATTTAGTTTCCAGTAGTTTATCTACATTTCGGTACCCATGAATATGTAAGAAGTTTCGCCTCTGTTGATTTACTGACAGTTTTGTAATAACCAGTTTACAGGCATTATCCTTTTCCTATCCATATCTGTAGTGGATTTATAAACAGTCTCGATCCCATTCCTGGGTGATGACATTGCATTGTAGTAGGCAAGTTTTCCAACATTTTCAGAAAAGCTAGCTGCCACCAACTTCAAGCCAAAGTGACTAAACACAAATGACACAGAACAAAATTACCTATGACACACGGTATCAAAAACAATAAAATACCTAATCAAAAAAATCCTAAACAAACCAGTTTAAACATATCAAACAAAAGCCACTGAACCATTACCAAAATGACACAAAAGAAACTATAAAATACTGCCCTGCCATTTTAGCATAATTTTATACAAGACACATCGACAAATAGCGTCACATGATTACTCCGAGATGTAAACAAATCTTTACAATGACCAGAAAAATGAGAAAACGACATCATTCGCAACACCACTATAATGTAAATGAGATAAATACGAACTATAACACAACATTTTTACTTTCAACATTTTAATATTTTAGCATAAATTTATGTAAGGGCCATTGGCACATAACATAGTATTATCACTCCCAGATGTAAACATTTGCCCATGTAGGAGAAGACAGCAGAAAATCATAGGTGAATTTAAAAAAAAAATATATTACCTGATGATGGTCAAAAAAGACAAAACATGTTGTAATGTATAATATAGTGTGCTTATACATATAAACTGTGGTGACTGAAATAAATAATAAATTAGTCACCCCACATTATGATGCTAAAATATAATATTTTTTACTAAGCACGAGACTAGCACAAATATTTGTAGTTCTGTTCCCCATCTGCGCTCTGATCAGTGAAACTGTATGCAACAATAAAGCACAATGGAGCATAGGTCACTTTTAGTGCCAACACCTCCAACTTCAAGGTAATTTTATCAGGACTGATTGGTGTCTGACAGTTTAATATTTTCGACTGAAAGTGGGGAGGGGGCATCTGCTTGCACCTCTAATTAAAAAACACTGAGAATTCCCCTCTTTCTCAATGGTTCTGGAGACTGCTGAGGGCTGAAGAGTAACCACGAACCCACAAAGGACTTCTAGAATGACTGCAGCCATAGAACTACAGTTGCAAGGCCAGACAAGGCTGAGTTAAGTGTGAACAGCTAGCATGGACGTGTGTTGGAGATGTGGAATAGAGCGTGCGGTGGACCTCAAGTCAGTTCAGTGCAAGACAGAAAAAGATAGCAAGGCAGCAGGGTACAGTGCAGCAGTAGTGGACAAGAAAATACTGACACACTATCATAAGTGGCCACATGAGAATGAGATAATAATCGTTACAAATGATGATGAACACATTTTTATGGTGTTCACTCTCTGCTTCTTCACTATTTCAGCATATGTCCTCATTACTACTGAAGCTGCAGTGAAGACTAATCCCAGTATCTCACTGATCATTCTTCTGATATAACACAGTATATAAATAAGCTGTAGCATTATTCTTTTCCACACAGAACATTTCACCCTTGTTCAATGCACTTCATTTTTGCACTGAATAAATCGAGATTAAAAGTAGTTGACATTTAAATCCCTAAATATCCAAGAAACACATGTTTCAATGCAGATTAATGTCTTCTGGGATGCGACACTTCGTAGTCTGGTAGATATTTGGTAAATATCTACTGGACTACATAGCATCACATGCCAAAAGAAAGAAATTCATTATCACTGCAGTGAGAATTTCAAATCTCACATTTTTAGACATTGCAGGTACTGAATTGTGAAACCTGTCTTGTCCTACTGCACATGCATGTCCCTGTTGAGAACTTGGTGACTATGATAACGCTGTAATCAGCTGATCTTAGAGCATAGAAAATTAACTACCAAACACCATGGCAGCATGCAGGAGATAGAACATAATGGTTAAGAATAATCTAACAGCACCACCTAAGTATGGCATAAAGAATTAATTAAAAGAAACAAAAACTAAAAAACCCTAAGAACTGATATCTAATGACATCTTTACTATTTTAGTCAAAAAGGCCTGTCAGCATACTTCAGATATGTAAAACTGAAGAATCTAATACCAACTTATTAATTACACTTCTCAGTATTCCAACACCAAAAACGATATATCAAACATTTCTAAAACTGAGACTTACATTTTAACTGTATTATACTTTTGTGTAAGCTGGAACACTCAGTTATTATAGCAACTATGTCTCAGGCTAAATGGCTGAGGAACCAGTGTTGGACTGTCAGTGCTGAAGCTCACCAAATTACCTAACCAATGGGTACTGGTGGTCCTTTCACTGATGGTAAAGCTGGTTACTCACCTCCATCTAGTACCAAGGTTACCAATATGACATAACAGCAGTATTGATGACATCCCACAAACATACGGATCACAAAAACCTAAAAGCTGACCTCACTTACAATCAACCCATTTGGACTCACCTCTGCATGGCCAAGCATAGAGTCACCCAGGGGTTGTGTAGTAGAGGAACAGTACTGCCTGTCAGGACTGCCTGGAGACCTGGACTGCGAAACTTCGTATCTCCGTGAATCCTGGCTCTCACAGTACTCCATCTGTTTGCAGGAGCAATTCATTTTAATAATAATCTTTATTTTCAAAACTAATTCCATGCATTAAAGTTCCTCTAAAGAAATTGGTAGTTGCTCAGCTGGTATGGAAACTGCCTACCTTTTATGTAACTTTGAGTTTCATTATTGTGTTAACAAGAACCTACAACTGCACCCTATTTTGAGTTGCATTAATCAAGTCCACATAACCTCAACTTGTTCCCTTAAAATCCATGTTAACACTATCCTCCTACCCATGCCTACGTTTCATGCGTAGTATATTCTCTTCAGATTTTATGACAAAAAAAATTTGCATGCATTTTTCATTTCCATATTTGATCATGCTAAGAGTGGAATGTAGAAATCACGCATCTCCTCATTTTTTTTTAATTTTTTCCATCTACTTCCTTTCTCACAGGTTAAAGTAAATATTCACCTCAGCACTATATTCTCATAACCTTCAAACTGCATTCTTCCCTTGGAATGAGAGACTGGGCATGACATCCATTAACCAACAGCAGTTAAAATTATAGTTCAGTATAGTGACATTTTAATATTTTCATGAAGATCATAATTATACTGCATTATTCTTCAATGACACAACATACGGCAAGACACGGTCAATTTTTTTTTTTTTCGGGTTCTGAAAGAGTAGAAGACCTTCTTCAGAAACATATTAGGCAGAAACATGTCCAAGAAACTGTCTGTCCTTTAATTTAACTACAGCCATTGATATTACAGACATCAATTCAATTACTGCTGTGGAAATTGGTAGGAACATCATGCCATTCCATCTTGGTAGTTCACTCCCAGTGATCAACAACATGGTGGTCATATGAAATGTTGAAATAAAAGCAACACTAGTAGCACTCAATAACAAAGAGTCAGCAGAAAACTGGGTGTTCTACCAATACATATCGTTTCTAAGTAAGCTAATTATTACAGCTGATTTACAAGTCTATCATGTATTTCTATGGCTTTTACAGGTGGATGTAAATTCAGTAGCTCAGCACAAAGACAACTGTTAATAGAATACATGTACAAAAAAATAAAAAAAAAAACATGATAAACTGATTTGAGATAAAATATCACAGCAATTCTTAAACACATTTTATATTCTGAGTCTCTTTAATTGTGTACTGAAGAGGAAAATAGAAGATAATAAAAATGTTTTCACCAGCCTGTTTCAGGAAGAGAATGTAAATTGTTAAGTGTCTAATATTGGCCACAGAGCAGTCAAAAATGTGCAACAGAACTTCATATTACACATCAAACTGTGACATAAATGGCAAAATAAACTGTTTAGTTTCTAACATCAACCACAAGAGGCCTTGAAACATGACCATATACAAATTAGACACATATACAAACCTCAAAAATGCCTTAATAAAGGAACTGCAGTACTATGAACTTGGCACAAACTTATTAAAATTAGGGATGATGCAGATACTGCTGCTCATTATGCCATGTAACTCCTGAATGTATACATTATGTATTTTTCACACACAAGGAAGAAATTCAGTGCCAACAAAGACTTAATACACTGTACTAAAAATGTAATATGACATATTTCATATCAGCAGAGGAGTATGTAAGCTCCCGTACTTTTAAATTAGTCATGAATGCCAAATAAATCTACAGAGGATAAAAGACAAAAAGATGGAAGGTATATGAGATGTTTGCTAGTGACATCTGCTAAGCACATGAAAACTATTTTAAAAGAAATATGAACACTTACAGGGACTTTCCAGGATACACAGATGAATGGGAACATTAACATATATGAAAATATTGCAAATGGTTGCTTTGAAAGAAACTGTTAATGGAAGTTCCAATCAACATCACAAAAATCAGCACCAATGACAAAATATGTTTACATGACATAAAACTAGTTTTATTTACACAACCTTGAAATAAAATTAACATGTAATGTGTCGCCTATTCACAATGTAATATTAACTCTGGCTGTATAGCAGGCTTGCCAACATTGTCTGTCTACAACAGGGACAGGAAGTTATTTTTACTTGGGTACCAGATGAGGCTATTCTGCAATGACTGTGGGGCTGTTTGCCTCCCAAGAAAAATTGAACAGCAATCATTCATTCATAGTGACTACACAGTGGTTCATGTTCTCCAGGTGTTATGATATGCATTAAACCATATCAGAAGTGGGTCAACAATGTTACTTGGTATGATGGCTGTGAACAGGATTGTAGTCACAGTATGGTGGCCGAGGGCTGTGCCCTAGAGCTTTTGAATGCCAGAGTGCTGCCCTGGTACTGAAATAAAAAACAGTGATGTCCAACATGGGCAACAGTTAATACACATTAACAAAAAGCCTCTTCTTGTTACTGTCTTCTTTAAAAATGAAAATTTGCTTCAAAATGGAATATTACATTCAGGAAATTACTTGAAATTATAAGAAGTTACATAAAATGTATACAAAAGTATGCAGTCTACACAACAATATTCTGTGTTTAAAATAAAGTAGACACTATATGTATGTTGATATGATAGTATCTACTTAGTTTTAAATACAGAATATTGTTATGTAGACTGCATACTTTTGTATACATTTTATGTACCTTGTATATGACAACACAACAGGATGCATACTATTAAGATTATAAGAAGTTATATTTTGCTAAATTTTCTGCCTCCCTATTTGAAGTGGTAACATGAAAACTATTTAAAAAAGCAATTCTAGAGCTGAAGAAAGCAGTCTTCTGGGATTTGGCACCGTGTATACACAGTGTATATGTGGTGTTAACCGACATTTCGGAGGAACTGCTTTCTTCATAGTCACCGCCGTGAAAGCCTCAAATCTTACAGGGTTTGGATAATTGACTGGATTTATTGACCACTTCAACACACAACTCAGTAACTATAAGTAATTATAACATTATTGCTAATCTCCACACTTCACACATCAATACAGCACATGCTAAGGCTTCTCACTCTGCTTCCACTAGTCATCTCCTGGTAACAGATCTCAACAATGGAGATTCTTTGGCTTCTGTCCAGCTAATATTCCACAACTGAAATCATGCTCAAATTGACTAGCTCTCAGACTGGAGGCCATCTCACACCAACATCCTCTTCTCTTCACGGACTGACAACTGACTACGGCTCAAGTCAAGTCTTATGTTACGACCGACAGTGAGTCGGCCAGTACCTCTTGGAATAAAGCACCCATCTGGGGCTTACGACCAGATTTTTATTACTACCAGACAGTTGCAGGTTTGTCTATGTGTAGCACTCTCTCTGACGAAAGGACGGTTCTGTCGTTTACAATGGCTGCTGACCCTCGCCAGCGTAGTCATTCTCTGATCTGAGTCCTGTGGGACTTGCGATCTATTTTACTGTATCAGATTCGAGAATTCCCTTTTTGCTGCCTCCTACGACTCACAGGGCTACAATGGGCGCATTCAACCCCACCTCCACATGGGATTGACTACTGCTCGGCTGGTGTCCTCGTTAAATAACCCCTTGGCAGACAGCATAGAAAACACCGTTTCCAACACCTCCTTTATTGTTGTGCATGAACTCGTTACCATGGGAACCTGTTTGTTTTGCAGTCACTATCTAGTAATGGGTCAGCACACTACAATATAAACTTTACTACTGATATAACATTAAGAAGTAATCAATGAATCAAAGTTACTTCTCTTCTAGAACTGTGTCATAAATAATTGATTTTAAGAACACAAATTATTTTACGTACAGCATTTTAGTTCTGAGATAAAAAAAATACCCCATTTATTTTTCAAAAATGTATTTCTTCAGTCTGTATTCCTTTGGGCATGGCAAAATCCTGCCATATGGCAGGAGGTATTGTAATATGATGATTAATCTCTCTGTTACTGACTGTGAAATGCGAATGTGACACTTGTTCGTATCTATGAATTTGGTTCTCAACAACTTAACAACAAAATAAAAAATTTGTGTGTGGGTGTCAAATGTGTCCTTCAGGTACTTAGTTATCTTTATGGTAATACTCTTCCTAATACATCCATTTATAAAATTCATGTACAGGTACTCACATCATTATGTAAGACAGTAGTGGTGGGGGAGTACATGTTGCTATTGGACGGGGAGCATGCCTGGAAGCTGGCAGGGTCCTCTTCCTTCTTGATGCGGGGTGTGGGAGTCATTCCTGTCCCATCTGTCGACATCATCGACACCTGTAACATAAATTTGTTGTTATCTCAGTATTCAAGGTGGATAACCAAACCTTTCAATTCTAAAACTGATACACCTAATTCAGAAACACAACCTTATTCTGCTTTTAATATGTATTTTATATTACACCGTTAATTAAATGAAAAAATTACTTTTATCTTTAAAAATTATACTCAATAAGAGAACCTACAACTTGTATGGAAATATAAAACCAAAGAAAACACAACTGGCACAGAGAAGATTATAAAGCATCAAACTACGTTAGTACGATTCATTTTTGTAACTGTTCATGTAACAGGACTGACTTTCGACTTCAAACTACAGAGCATACCATCTTCGTGGCACTAGCTACTGACAAACTCTACAGTATTTGAACCAAGGACTTCACATCGCGGAAGCACAGCTCGCCACTACGAATACAATATACTTTCAATCATCAAAACAATGTTTTCCTTTGAACAACTCTCAGCTAAACAAACCCAAAGGGGGCACGCAGTTGATTGAGGCCCTATGCTACAAGCCAGAAGGTCACTGGAGCTATTCCTGATGAGGTCACTGGATTTTCCAATTGACCTAATCCTTCCAGCCGCATTATGGAACTGGAGTCGACTCAGCCTCTAGCAAAAATGAGTACCAGGAATCTTCCTGCAGGTAAAGGGCAACCGGCACATAAGGCTGATAACCTCACCACCATCCGTGAGTTGACTGTATAGAAAATGTGGGAGCCTCGACGATCCTCAACCTTATGGGCCTCCAGGGCCTGTTACAGGGATAGATTTTAGAACAAGCCTAAGAAGTGTTGTTCCATCAGATATCAAAATTTAACTATGAGCCAGATGATCTACTTTACATCCTCTAAACCTATACTGGCATAACATTCACTTTAATATTATCCTTCCATCTCTTTCTCATTCCACCAAGTGATTGCTTACCACAGAAAATTGAATTTTTCCCATATAAAATGAAAAATAAATAGCAGACAAAGAAATTAGTGTGGCCAGCCTTGTTAAGTTACTGTTTTTTTTTT